GATGGGATCAGGTGATGGAAAACTTCGACTTGCTATTCTCTCAAGTCAATGAGATTGGAGTGGTCTAGCAACAAATGAAATCCCAGATGGATATTCGAGGTGCTGCCATGGACCAATACTCAGTTGAGCAACACATCATATCCCAGTAGGTTAAAGCCAACAGGGCAGCAATAGCTCAACTCACCATGAAGCAGTTTGAGAAGGAACCCAAATTTGATGATGATAGTTCAGGTTCTACTGTTGATGAGGAGGATGAGACCTTTGACAATGTGTTTGCCAAGTACAAGGGAACCCACAAGCCTAAACCTTCTAAGAAAAGAAAGCCTCCATCAAAGTTTGATAGGACAACTTCTCTACCTACCCAACCCATGCCCAAAATGCAATTTCCCAAGTTTGATGGTGCCAACCCAAAGGTCTGGAAGGATAATTGTGAGAGCTATTTCGAACTATATCAACTACCTGAAGGTATGTGGATAACTGCAGCTCATCTCCATTTTGAGGGTAATGCAGCCAAGTGGTACCAGGCCTACAAGCAGAATCACCACTTCAGAAATTGGGATCACTTTTGCTCAGTGGTGAAAGAGGAGTTTGGCTCAGATGATTTCAGAAGTGCCATGAATGATTTGCTGGAACTGAAACAAATAGGAACTGTTGAGGAGTATACTACTCAGTTCAAAACTCTCCAATTTGACATTACCATGCACAATCCACACTATGATGAGATGTTCTTTACACCACAATATGTGATGGGATTGAAGGATGAAATTCGAAGTACTATTGAGCCACAAATGCCCACTACAGTGCAGAAAGCATCTATACTGGCCAAGATTCAGCAGAAATTAGTGGAGAGGAACAAAGGCAAGTACAATAGAGCTCCACACCAATTCAGACAATATGCACCAGCCAAGACTGACAACAAGGTCCAAGCTCACCCAAGTACACTATGGAAAGACAGACAACTTAGGGACTATAGAAAAGCAAATGGCTTATGCTTTAGTTGTGGTGAGAAATTTGTCCTTGGACATTTGGAGGTCTGCACCAAAAGAAACAAACCTCAAGCACATGCTATTGTTCTCAATGACTTGGATAGGGAACTCTCTGATGAAGTTCTCAATGACTTGGCAATAGAAGATCAGTTATAGGAAGAATTTTGTCAATTGTCACTCAATGCAATCTCTAGTCAAGATCATACTAACTGTATCAAACTCAAGACAAGAGTCAAAGATAAAGTGATGCTTATCCTGGTTGATAGTGGTAGTACACACAGTTTCATCAGGTCTCCGTTTGTACAGTTAGCACACCTCAACACTATGCTTATAACACCAAAGAAAGTGAAGGTAGCAAATGGAGAATGGATTGTTACTGATAGAATGGTACCTCAACTGTAGTGTTACTGTCAAGGCCAAACATTTGCAGTTGATATGGTGGTATTAGACATGAACCCATATGATGCTATATTGGGATTTGATTGGCTATAGGCCCACAGCCCTATGGAGTGTGACTGGAAAAACAAAACAATCAAATTTTCAGAGAAAGGAAGAATGGTACAACTTCAGGGGTTGCTAGATACACCTTTGCACCTATCTGATATATCAGCCTAGAAGACCTACAATGCTGCCAAAGGCAATGATGTATGGGCATTTGTGCTGCTGGATCATGTACCCCCACCATCTCTAATATCTACAGCAGACACCACTCTACCACCTGAGGTAACAAAGTTGCTACAGTCTTACAGTGATGTCTTCCATGATCCTAAAATATTACCACCATAGCGTAGTTATGATCATGCAATTCCTCTGCTACTAGGGGCAGTCCCAATCAACTCTAGACCATACCATTATTCACCTCTGCACAAGACTAAAATAGAGAATCAAGTTCAACAGTTATTGCAAGCAGGACTAATTACTCACAGTCACAGTCCTTTTGCATCACCAATTCTCTTAGTTAAAAAAAAGATGGATCTTAGAGATTCTGTGTGGATTACAGAAAGTTGAATGACATCACTATTAAGAATAGATTTTCAATGCCTGTGATTGAGGAAATTTTGGATGAGTTGGTAGGTGCCAAGTTTTTCACCAAGTTAGATCTAAGATCAGGTTATCATCAAGTGAGGATGCTCCCTGAAGATGAGTACAAAATAGCTTTTAAAACTCATCAAGGGCATTATAAATTCAAAGTAATGCCCTTCGGTTTGACTAATGCTCCAGCCACTTTTCAATGTGTCATGAATCAGATTCTCCAACCTTATCTCAGAAAATTTGTTCTAGTCTTTTTAGATGACACACTCATCTACAACACATCATTGGAAGATCAGCAGCAGCATCTACAACAAGTCTTAGAAACTTTAAGGAAACACCAGCTTGTACCTCAAGGAATCTAAATGCACTTTTGCAAAGCCCAGCCTAGAATACTTAGGCCATGTTATATCTACACAGGGAGTATCTACTGCCCCTGACAAGATCAAGGCAATGCTTCATTGGCCAGTGACTGCTACAATGACCGACTTGAGGGCATTTTTGGGGTTAACTGGCTATTACAGAAAATTTGTGAAACATTATGGACAAATAACTAAACCCTTGACATATATCTTAAGACTGAAACACTTCCTATGGAATCCTTCAGCTCAAACTGCTTTTGACAACTTAAGGATAGCCATGACCACAACTCCAGTACTTGCACTGCCAAACTTCCAAGAAACATTCACTGTAGAGACAGATGCATGCCAAGATGGCATAGGAGCAGTATTGATGCAGAAAGGCCAGCCCATAGCATTTCTCAGCAAAGCTCTTGGGGAAAAACACAAAACCCTATCCATCTATGAAAAGGAATTCTTAGCATTGATCATGGCAGTCAAAAGATGGAGGCATTATCTCCAAAGAAAAGAGTTTATCATCCAAACTGACCATAAATCTTTGGCATATCTAAATAAACAGAATTTACATTCAGACATGCAGAGAAAAACAATGGCAAGGCTAATGGGATTGCAATTTAAAATCATTTACAAGAAGGGCAAAGAGAATGTGGTAGCTGATGCTTTATCTAGCGTAGGTCACATGATGGCTGTCCAGGCAGTATCTTTTGTTCAACCTACCTAGATCCAAGAGGTACTAAACTCTTACACCGCTGACTCTCAAGCACAGCAACTACTACAGAGACTGTCTATTGCCAGCCCAGATCAACAAGGATACAGTCTCCAACAAGGCCTCATATGGCACCAAGGCAAGATTTGGATTGGGCATAATTCTGCTTTGCAAACAAAAATCATTGCTGCATGCCACTCTAGTGCTCTAGGAGGCCATTTTGGCATTGCAGCCACCTATTCCAGAATGAAGAAGCACTTTGCCTGGAAAGGGATGAAAATGGATGTGGAGAATTTTGTTAAACAGTGCAATATCTGTCAACATGCAAAACATTCTTTACAACACCCAATGGGTCTTCTGCAACCACTACCAATACCAGGAGGAGTATGGCAAGATCTCACTATAGATTTCATTGAGGGCCTTCCCAAGTCAGAAGGATACAGTGTGATTTTGGTAGTGGTGGATAGGTTGACTAAGTATGCTCACTTCTTACCCATCAGGCATCCTTATACTATTGCAGCTGTTGCTAAAACCTTACTAGACAATGTGGTTAAGCTACATGGACTCCCAGCTTCTATTGTGACAGATAGGGACACTATCTTTGCTAGTCATTTCTGGAAGGAACTGTTCAAATTGTATAGAGTGAATCTGTAGTTAAGCACAGCTTACCATCCTCAAACTGATGGCCAATCAGAAAGAGTGAATCAATGCTTGGAGATGTATCTCAGGTGTGCTGTCCATGATTCACCTCAGTCTTGGAAATCATGGTTACCATTAGCTGAACTGTGATATAATTCTTCTCTACACACTGCCCTCGGTTGCTCTCCATTCAAGGCATTATATGGTTATGAGCCTAACCTGGGTGCAGTACCTTCTATACCATCAGACACATCTCCTTCTGTAGCAGAAATCATTGAGCACAGAGAACAACATTTGCAATCATTGAAGCAAAATCTGGCCAGAGCACAAAACCGAATAAAATTATTAGCAGACTAGAAATGCCAGGATTTCACTTTCTCTGTGGGAGATCAAGTGTTGCTCAAACTTCAACCTTACACTCAATCCACTGTGGCCAGCAGGCCTTACCCTAAGCTAGCTTTCAAGTACTTTGGGCCTTACAAAGTACTGGAAAGAGTAGGCCGTCTGCAACTACCTGAAGACTATGATTCACCCCGTTTTCCATATTTCCCAGTTAAAACCTTTCTCTGCAGATTATACTCCAGTCTATGATTTCCTACCACTCATTACTAATTTGGAAGCAGCCGATACTGTGCCTGAAGCAATCATCGACCGTCGGCTGGTCAAGAAGGGAAACACTGCGGTACTGTAGGTGAAACTGACATGGGTGGGCCTACCAAGTAGTGCAACAACATGGGAAGACTACAATGTTGTCAAGGAACGCTTTCCTACTGCGCCAGCTTGGGGGCAAGCTGGACCTCAGGTGGGGGGAAGTGTCACACCGGACGGTGGTGCCACACATAGTGAAGGATGCTGAAGGAGGAAGGCTCAAGGAGAAGTCATATTCTGTATTGGCTTAGCGTATTTATGTATTACATTTCTATTTACGAACTGTCATGTGGGACCAGGAGGTCAGTGTCTGTAATAAGCACATAAGTGCTGAACCCTGTATCGGATCGGAATCAGACTCGCAATATCAGTAAGCTAAGGCAGAGGGGTTTGCCCTGCCCGCTTCCTCGCATCTGTGCTTCCCGATCGCTCACGTCGACGGCGACCCGCCGGCGGCCAAGGGTGTGACACTCATGGTGCCCGTGCCCCGTGCGGGTGGGTCTCGGCAGTGCCACGGTTGGCACATAGCAGTCTCAGGTGCTCCCGTTTCCTCTTGTATTTTGGGATTTTGCTTTTGCCTCTCTGATTCGTCCCTTAGATGACTTCAATTCGTGTTCTAGGGTTTGGCCTAGAATGCCTGTTGTTCCAATGTTTGCCTTCTCTGTGTTCATCAGTGGGAGGACGGCACCAATTGGCAATGACACTACTTATCTCAAAGATGAAAAAGTCTCCATTGATGAGATCAAATTAACACCTCTAGAGCTTTCTGAACTGATAGCATCCATTAAGAATGGAACTATAAGTGCAAAGATTGACAAGGAGGTAACAATGCTACAGTGGGGGGTTTCCCCTGTTGCTATTTTTTTGGCTCTATGTTTTGGCATAGTCTTTAGGGTCTACACACTTCTAGGCTTTGCAGCCTGATCAATCATAATGCCTCTCTAAATTTGTCCCTGCAGATACTGGCCAAGCTCATTGCCAAAGGCGGAACAGTTAAGGTGTGATAGAAGAGAAAGATTTGGTTCAGGTAACTGTGCTCATATTTGTTACTATTTGGAGCCATAGTAGTTCAAGCATCTATATCTATCTAAAAAAATATTGTGACTCCTGCCACCAGTGTGAGGTGTTCCACGAATATATCTAGCATCCTTCGGCATTGCCAAGACATGTTTTTTCCTTTGGGTACTCCTGTTAACGCAGATGCTAAAAAATTGGGACAATATTGGCATGCCCTCTTTATTCCATCAGTGTTTGTAGTTTGTAATTTGCATCTTATACTTTAATGAGTACTCGACCCATTGTTGTGCTCTCAGTTGGTGCAGTTTCATTATTTTAGCTTCTGGCTGGGTTGTCTGAAAGGCAAAAAATTATTGCTTGAAATGACAGAGAGCAGATCGAGCACTAATCGAGCCAATGGTAGATAAAGTAGTCTGCTAGCTCGTTGTCACTATTGCAAAGGCTCTGTAATCCCTCCAAATCATCCGCGCTATCCACATCGCTGAGGTTTTGGGGTGACGTGGCTGAGGTTTAACGGGCAACTTGGCCACGCTGAGCGATTTTGGGGTGATGTGGCCCATCTCCTCTGCTGGGCTGAATCGTGTAAGTGTATAGGCGATTTTGGGGTGGCGTGCTCCAGCTCCCCTACCACGGTGAACCTTGTGATTGTAGAGGGAGATTGGTTATGATCTGATGTTCTCAGTGTTTGCCATTTGCTATTTTCCCCCTTCTTGAGCCTGTGATGAAAATTCCATATCCATTGCTCAATGATATGATCTGATGTTCATTCGCTTGTGAGGTACTGGGCATGGCTGCTACTTATATTATGTGGTTTCTGAGGGTAAACCAGTTGTCAGCATGCCTTGAACCTCCAAGTTGATGAACAAATGATGATTGCTATGCTTCTGAGGCCTCCAAAAATCCTGTCTTCATTCAAAAAAGATTCTTAGCTTCTTCACTGCTACTGCCATTGTTATTTTATAGGTCTGTTGTGAGGAAGCGATCTCCCTCTATAATCACAAGATTCACCGCGGTAGGAGAAATGGACCACGTCACCCCAAAATCGCTCGGCGTGGCTACACCGCCCGTTAAACCTCAGCCACTCATTCTCCACTCTCGCCGTAAATATGATGTTGCCAAATGGCTTCAGGAACTTATCACCCTATACGGAGTGACTTCGCACCTTCTTTGCCTATGTTTTAATTCATGTCTATTATGCCGCTGCAACCATCTTCTCATCAGTATATACAAGTGTGTGCCTATGGTGCTGCTTATTTTAGTCTGACCATATGCCACTGCTGATGATGTACCTATTACGGTTTGACAATATGATGATACCTATGAGGTGCTTCTGATTAACGTGACCATATTTCCATGCCTTGGCTATTTTGCGTTTTTTTGGGTCCACCATATGTCAATGCCAATGATGCTACAAAATGATATGTTTTTTCTGAGATATAGGAGGTGCTTTTTTTGGTAACATGGACGGTGTGTCCTCGAGTGAACCCCAACCGCTTTGCAGAGTTAAGTGATAGTATGCGTTCATGATTATCGCTCTTTTATGGTTTTTGGTTTACCATTGTGAGAGAGGCATTCCCTATGTCGAACCTGACAATATTTACATGCCATTGCTGCTTTCCATTTTTTTTTGCCACATGTCAATGCCAACATTACTCCACACAAATATCTTCTTCTCGACTATACAATTTGACAATATGCAGTCATGATTACCACAGTTTCATGATCTTTTTAGTTTGATTTCAAGTGAGGCATCTGATAAACCTGGGCATATTTGCATGTGCCATTGGTGTTTGGCAACTTTTGTTGACCATGTTTCATTGGTGGTGATGCTGCAAACAGGTATTTTTTCCTCGACTATGGCATATGAGAATATGCGGTCATGATTATCACTCTTTTTTAACCTGAACATATTTGCATGTGCTATTGCTGTTTGGCAATTTTTGCTGACCATGTTTCAATGGTGCTAATGCTGCAAACAGGTGTCTTTTTCCTCGACTGTGGCATATGAGAATATGAAGTCATGATTATCACTCTTTTTCCATCTTTTCATTCTCATTTGGCCTGCACTTGAAGTGGGGCCTAGACATATGTTATGATTAATACGTTTAATCAACTGAGGCATTTGGCATATGGTGTGACACAACCCATTACATATAGATTGTCCTTTTTTGTTATTCTTAGTCAACTGAGGCGCTTTGGTATATGCAATGATGACCTGCTTTTTCATGCCTACAATCCAACCTCGTGTCCCGCACTTCATTGCTAAATGGAAAAACAAGTTGCCGTCCAGGCTTAATGCTTTTCTACAGTTGTGTTATACTATGCTCTTATCCTGCGATAAACCTTGTTACTGGTACCTTGTGATGTAACTGATCCCCTGCTTTTAATTCCCTGTTTCCTTTTTTTTTTGGCGTTTACATACTCTCGGCGATAATGGAAAATTGTAGTAATATATCTGCCTATGCACATAGTATGTTCCCGCCATGTACCCCTGCTATTAGTTGGTTGTTACTATTTCTATTTCTGTTTCCTATTTTCCTACTTTGCTCTTCATTCCAACTCTACGTTTGCTGTCTTACTCCTGTGCAAGGTACACATTCAGTAAGGCACAATCAACCCACCGCATTTTTTTTTTTGCCTGCTAAGCTTGGTTTCCTATTCCGTTTAAGTTTTATATAGATTGGTTCAAAACCTTTTCTACATTGGCCTCTAAAAATTCTGTCTTCGTTAGTTCGTTTAAAAAGATTCTTGGCTTCTGCATTGCTACAACATACTTTTGTTGTCATTGTTATTTTAAAGGTTCGTTGGTACTTCGCTTTATTTGGATTTGGCCTTCTTCTTTTCCATCGCCTCACCAATGGGTTCACGGGTAGTGCCTACCATACATGGATGAATGTGACCACACTACTGTTTTGTCCATGATGCCATTTGCCATTTTTTACCTTCTTCAGCCTGTGATGAAAATTCCATATCCACTGCTCAATGATATGATCTGATGTTTGTTCGCTTGTGATGTACTGGGCATGGCTGTTACTTATATCATGCAATTTCTGAGGGTAAACCAGTTCTCAGCATGCCTTGAAGCTCCAAGTTGATGAACAAATGATGATTACTATGCTTCTGAGGCCTCTAAAAATCCTGTCTTCGTTCAAAAAAGATTCTTGGCTTCAGCACTTTTACCGTGATGCTCTGTCCTCGCCCTAACCCAAGCAGTGGTGTGCACGCTGCTGCTGCTAGGGCTCAACTGCAGTGAGGGGCTTGCCAAGACCTTCCACGACGGCACCTAGCCCGCCAGGGCATCAGGCAACAGGCCCCCAGCACCCAAGCGGCCAGGCAGTGCCCCCGAAGGCATCCTCTCCCCAGCACCCAAGCGGCCAGGCAGTGCCCCTGAAGGCAACCTCTCCCTTCTTCCCTTGACTGGTCGCCCCCTGCTGCTGCGCAGTCAGCCATACGGTGAATAATTTATCCTAATTAATGATTTCAAATTGAGTGTTATGTGTACTCTTTATTATAGCAATTGATATTTTTGTTTGACGGTAGTGAATTTTCTAGCCATATGTTAATATTTGACCGTTATTATAGAAGAAAATATTTGATACAGTTGGCATCTCTTGAATTAACAGGACTTCTGTTAACTTTATAGAAGTTTTACTTGAATTTACATAAGACAGAGGTTCCATTGCCTTGTCGCATGTATTCAGGTGTTTGTTGGGGTTGGGTGATGATAATCATGTCGTCTAAAACATGCTGAAAGTGTCTCGAACCGGATACCTATACTGTTCTTACAATTACAATTGATCCATTATCTGTCTTTGGATAGCAAATAAAAATAAAAAGCTAATGATTTTGCTGTTATGTCAGGCAGCTCTTGTCGTTAGCCTCTCCACCACCGGTAAAAGAGGACATCCAGTACACTGATCAATCTCGCCACAGGCATCTTTTAGTAATCGATCTCGCCAATGTCCAGGTACTGACTACCTTCTATCCTCACAGTGAAAGGTTTTTTATCTACGCTATAGATTGGGAGATGTCCTGTAAAAAAGACATTAGTAGCCAACTGGTGAAGACTGGGATAGCCTTTTTCCAACTGGTGCTTAGTCTACTGCACATATGATATCTTCACATGCGTGCACAATAAAAATGCAAATTGAATTGAATTGATGTTTTGGTTAATTTAACAATTTACTTTTATAGTTGCAATTATTTAGCGAGACCATAGCTTATAGAATTTGCACTTTTTTTGTTTCTTTATCTTAGCTGACAGGATATGACAGGTTAGGTAAAACTTTATGCTAAAATTTTACAGCCTTCATGTGTGTGATATGAGTCATGAGTGAGGTCTCGATCGGCCTTTCCAGCTGTTTGGCCCTCAGCAGTTCTAGCCAAACCATATCTGAGAGAAGAGACATTCTGAATCCCAAAATCGAGAACACCATGTAGAGAGAACGTCCTCTGAAACAGTCCAATCCCACAACAGTTACAAGCAGCTAAACGTAGCACCCTAAGGCAGTGGAATCTGGTCGGAGACTGTCAATATGCCCGTATGTAAAATATCCATAATTTTGGGAACTCCTGGATGTCGATATGTCAACATTTTTTTAGCAACCTGTTTTCTATGGCATGTTGCTATTATGTTTGCAAGTGGTGAAACTTTGTTTACCTAACGAAAACTGGCTACTGTTCAAAACCGACTACCTCAATTTTGATGGTATTGTTGTTTTCCAGTGATCTAACAGAACTTCGAAACTACAAGCTAGCCTTCACCTGTACATATTTTTCAGGATATAACCTCCATCACCCGCACGTAGAGTTGTTGTCGGAAAGTGAATAGTACTAAATGGAAGATTGGTTCGTCAGATTTTTCTGTACATAACTGAATGTACAAATTCTTTGTGCAATTTGATTTTCCACGCGCCCAGACATGATTATGCAATGCTCTTATGTTTGTGCAGGTTGGAGGAAAGAAATTTACTCAGATCAAGTGAGA